TCAGTTCGTATTTTCTGTATTTTTATTTGAAAGAAATCAGAGAATATATTTGCAAGTTCAGTGTCATTATCATTGTCCGGGAGAATAGTACGCTCAGCATTATGGTCCAAAAGGGAATTCACAACTTTATACAGGTCTTTTTGTCTGTTTTCGCCATTTTCTTTTTTATCAGAGTAAAATTTAATTTTAGCATCTTCAATTAATTTATTCACATTGTTTTTTAAAGATTTATAAATCTGTTTATGGACATGTAGATTTGTTTTCCGCCACAGATGTTCAGCCTTATTACGGTCCCTTTTGGCTTCTAAAATAGAATCATTAAACCACTGCATATTGGGACGAATAGTAAATGTTTTCGTTTGAAGAGGAACAAGCGAGTCCAAAATTTCAGCAAGCTTTGAGTGATATTGGGTTGCCTTCTCTTGTATATCTTGAATACGTTGAATGCCATTGAAATTCGAGTTCACTATTTCCGCTTTAAATTTATTTATGTCAAATGATTTAAACCTTCGATATGTTAAAGTCTTTCTTGTTGGTTGTGGTTTCTGGATCATAAGATTAAAAGTTGCCGGGAAATGATCAGATATTAATTTGTCCGAGACAGAGAGATTATCCAGTTACATAAACTACATGATACTATATTATATAACCCATAATTATTATAATGTATATTATTTAATCTATAAATATTTATATAAAACTATAAGTTTTCGAGTAGATTTCAGGCAAAAGATGCGAAAAAAACCCCGAACCATTTAGTGATAATCATGAATATTTGACTTTATTACCGCACAGGAATCAGATGTCACCGTCGACTTTAATAACACTTCATATTTTGACAACAAAAAAGGAATAATAGAATCGACGGACAAGGATAATAAATTCACAAAATTTGATTATCTTTATATAGAACAAAATATTACACAACAAACCTACCAAGCACTCTGATATCGATGGGTGTATCTGTTTTCACATTCTTGGCGAAACTGGCCCAACTATAAAGATACAAACAAATAATTAGTTTATTAAATCAGTAGGAGTGAAATGGGTTCTTATAATTTTCAATTTGGAAAGAACGCCTGTACAATAATTTATACTTTTAACAATAATTGGAATCTTTTTAATAGCTGAGAATGTTGGTGAGGTTTTCTATGGATACGTTCGTTGCTACGATAAGTGAGGTTACAGGGTAGTGAACTTATTCCATATTGCTACAGAATTTCAAGTTATTTCGGGTATTTGTTCTGCGAGCGTTATTGGTTTGCTGCCATCTACAGGAACATTAATAACCATAGAACCAATACTGCAGATTTTAAGTGTACATAATATGTACATAATATTATCATGTATAACGTATACAAAATTCGCATCTTTCGGATGGGACGTAAAGTAAAACCGATGCCCCGTATTATACCATTGGCCACACGTTAGAGGCCCCCGACAATTGGAAATCAACATAATATTTTCTATTAGGGCCGACGAGTTGGTCGCAGCATGACGTAATAATATGTCCGCCATCGTTAACCCGGCTGGGGCAGATAAGTAAGTCGTTTCGGTTCAGTTTTTTACAAGTTATACCTATTACTTGCAAACCATGAAGTTATTTCGACACTCGCGCTTGCATTATGGCTTGTAAAAAGAGATTTAATATGAAGTCTGAACCTCGTATACAGAAAACGCGGTTACTTAGTAGAAAAGATGCACTGTTTTCCAATTTAAAAAAACAAGACGAATGCGTGGATGGACATACCACAATTTGTCTGCCTGTTTTTGACTGGTTCCAATCTGTAAAATGAGCTACACCCCATCCAATACCGCCAACATCCTGAGATTTTGCCGTTGGGAAGGGATTTCTTGGGTTGGTTCTCCATATATAGTTAGCGTCACTGGTTCTCTCTGGTGTCATGGTTCCTATACCAATAGCTCTGTGTTCATCTTGCACAGTTACTCGTTGATCTCGGTTTCCTTCTGGACCTAATTAACCAAGGTATACATAATTTATTTTTTGAAAAGACACCTCGAGGAACAAAGTGTCACCCCCCCCCACACACACACACACACCTTTATTTAATGAAACAATATAATAATACAAAAATCTTTAAACACACTAATGAGGTAGGCCTATTATCGACGGTTTGGCGTACGTCGTGAAAACCTACAGATTCATTACCCAATAAAACAAAGTTGTATCATAGGGGATCAAACAACAACTCATTATAGTTACAGAGGTGAAATTGACCGCCATAACCTGGGCACTGATTAAAGCTCTTTTCATCTATCTGAATTATGGACAGTCTGTAGAATTATTACATAATCATGCAGTATACTTATATTAAACATACATTATGCAAGAGCTAAATCTGCCTATTGCAGGTCTTTCTTAAGAACTGAAATGTTATGTAAACTACTAATTAGACTTTTATTAACATGACAAGACCATAATCAACTCTCGATGTCATCGGATATATCCGATATTAAGTAGCTTAGAACGGTTCAGCCATATTTTGATTTAATCTAAAAATGGTGAAGCGAGGCTAAGCTTCGAACAACCTGTGCGGTAGTAGCAATTAATGCACACATCTTGTCAAACCTTCAAAAGCTAATATCTTCGCTCGCAATGGAGGAATTTGAATAAAATTTTCAATAAATTCATTTAGCATTATCTGTTTTCGTACTATTATAGTAACAATGACCAGCTCTTAATCTAAATCTTACATAATGTATCTTTAAAGTAACTGTATATTAATCGTGCAGTATAGGTCTATTATGTAATATTTATTGTGTATGGACGCGCCAGGGAAGCGGTGTTTCCATTCATTATAACCCGATTTTCATCATGATTAAATGTGTCGATATATTCAAATAAATTAGATTTTGTTTACTCCATTTGAATCTGATAGTGTACGGTACTTATAGTATAAGTATAAGATAATAGCAACGAACAAGGCTATGTACAGATTATTTTGCAATTGATGATCAGATTATATTTACACAAAGGCATTAATAATAAATAGCGTATCTTAAAGTAAAGTAAGATTAGCTTGTCTGCGATATCACTTCGGTGGAAGCGGACGTTAAATAAAGCTATTTCACACACAGTAAGATTAGCCAACTGGTTACATCACTTATTGGTTGAATAATTAATAGGCATGGGCCCTACCTATTACTTAGCAACACTGTAATACTGGCAGTTTGTAGTTTGTACGTATTTTTAGTTAGGAGTTATTTCGATATGCGATCTACAAATTATAATGGCGCCCGTGAACTCTAGATATACTCGTGTAAAACCCGTGTTGTTATGTTTAGGGTAAAAAAAGAGACTGTTTTATTTTTGATAAGAAGAAAAAACAATTAAATGGAGATTTAAAACTGCTTTAAAAAAAAAAAAAAAAAAAAAAAAAAACCGAAACAAAACAAAAAATAAATAACAGTAAAATTTTTACAAAGATCTAACACAAAACGCAACGCTAACATTTAAACCTACCTGTAAAGTACATTCTTCCATTTTTCGGGTAATTTTCACACGGAAAAATATTAGTAATTTCATTTTGTGAAGCCATGATAAATGAATGTTCAAGGTTATTTCACTAGAAAAATTTAATTCCTAAATAATTCTCTCCCTTATATTCAGTCCCTGCACCTGGAACGAGCTCGGATTATATTAAACTCGATGAGCATACTTTCGTTGTTTTTCACCACAGTTGGACACGACGCGAAAGGCTGGATGATCTAAGAACAGAAACTGGTAACTATGGAATAAATTAGTACTATTATTTTAGCACATAACTTGGCTACAACTGGTGAAACGAGACTTGTAACTAGGGAAGCCCACACCGTTTCAAAGCGAGACTGAAAAAACAATGTAAACAAGACAAAATGTTTGTTTCATTATTAATTTGATTTCTTTTCATTTTCAAGTCGGATGTTGACAACAATTCGGTAAGTTTATCTCGTTTAAAGGGACAATAACACTCTTGCTGGCTTGACAGCTCCAGAAAATAAATTCTAGCCTTATTCTAAGTATTAGGTGTTTAAGTGTCCTACCTGCTGTGTAAATTATCCATTATTACTTTACTTGTCCAGAGGGTTCGAAAATATTTCTAAATCCAAGTCACATTTGAAAAGGTTTACGTTAGGCTTTTCAAATCATTTAGTTGAATTTTTCCAATTTTTTAAATTAGGTGTGTTAAGATGAAATTTGTATCATCAATTAATTGGAATATTGTAAAATAGTACAATTACAATTTGTTGACCAGAATAAAGATTGGGACATATTAATATTCAGTTACAACAAGAGTGGTATTGAGCCTTTAAGTTATAATACTGTTTATTTACAATTATTATAGAATCAGAATATGCATGATCTGGCTGAATAATTCTTTAAAGGTCTGATGTGGTGTGATAAGTCTTTTAAAATCTGTTCTGCGCTCGGTGCTAGCTTTGTATTTGGAATCTTTAACTTGTTGATGATAGTAATTATCTAGATCTGAAAGCAAATATAGGTACTCTACCAACCCTAGCTACAATTAAATGTATCGTTAGACTGCGGCTGGAATAAGGCGGAAGACATCAGTGTGGAACCATTTCTATACCAACCCTCGCTACGAGAACGTACGTTGAGATATAATACTGATAGTGATGTGCTTGTTTTTAGCTACGATTGGGTTCCTTTAGTTCCAAGTGACAAATTCAATTTCTTTATTAGACTCTAATGCATGTAACATCTTGAAAATAAGATAAATTTGTACTATTATGACTAATTAAACTTACAAAGGCCAATGTTGTGGCACAACTATCACCTAACTCCAAATATCCACGTTTAAATTAATGAAGCGCTGTTTTTATCTGACATACACAGTCATACATTTCCCGTTTAAAATTGGCGTTCCTAGTAACGGCTTAACGCTTTCGATTTCCAATACGATCATTTATACCCGTTTCAGGTGGGATTATATGCTTAATTGAAGTTGGATGTGGCAGAAATATTATAAATAACAATAATCAACCTTTTTGATGAAAAATATTGTCAATTTTGCTTACTGAGGACTGATGTGATTTGCATTGGACTTTGCTACGTGGAACTATAGTAGCACCATCTCTTATCTTGAAACACAGTGACAGAGGGTTGAAAGATGAGGATGAGGTTTGTAATCTATACCAACCCCATCAAAAGAATATTTTACATGGAAATGACAATTAAGTTATTTGTAGATCTGTATGGTTTGAAAAATACCTTATAGTTATAATTCATATCGTCACTGTTAATACTTCAAATATTTGGCTTTTTTTACTCTGATTGATTATTATTCAGTCTTTATATGGAGCTGGGGGAGGTTGGATGGCCGAATGGTTAGCACATGTGCGCTGTATCATAAGGTCTGTCATTAAGTAAACTGGCGTGGTTTCGATTCCCCGGGTGTACGTGACAAGGAGTAGGGTCGCCTGTCCAACCTCGTGGGTTTTCTCCAGGTCCTCCGGTTTCCTCCCACTGCTAAAGACTCCTCCGAACAAGCGAATTATTGAAATAAAATTGAACCATATTATTTTAGTTCCGAAATGACCTGGTTTGTGTCGAGTGGACGTTAAACCCCATTTCTCTCTCTCTCTCTCTTTATATGGAGCTGTAGTTTGATCGTATTTGAATAAAATTATCATCCAAAAAACAATTTATGGCTGGGATCTTAGATTACCCCTTGTTGTCAATAATGTTTTTCGTGCGATGTGTCCGCACAAGGGTTAACTTCTTCACATCACTCATAAACCGAATTAAAAAAAAACATCGTTTTTCGGCACATGTCCACCAACTAATTTTTGTCCTACCATCAGGGCTCACACTGTCGGTCGCCAAAGTCGCAATTTGTGATAAAAATATGAAAGTGGTGATTAAAATTTGATTTTGGCGATAATGTTTTGCAGTACTGGCGATTCTTTTTGATAACTGGCGGAAAAATCTAATAATTTTAATCGTATTTATCCTGGATTAATCATTATTGAGTGTCAATCACGTGGCGGGATACTATAAATTAATCAACTGGCCGATAATCCGGATCTCGTCAATGAGTAATTCTAATCAGTAGTCTTGGATTAATGATTAGTTGATTGATAATTGTGAATGATCTTATTAAATACAAGCTTTGCTAATCTATTATGTAAAGACAGATTTTTAAAGTTGTTGTATATTGTATTGTATATATCGGTAATTGTTTTATAATAAGCTCAGCTGAGACATAAAATTGTTAGGTGTTGTCTTTTTTATCACACATTTTTGGCAGATAAAATATTCCAGTTGGCGGGAAAAAATATGAACATTTTTTATATATAAAAAAATATCATCCATTTGTGCGGGAAAAAATTGAAAACCAGTGCGAGCCCTGCCTACCATTAACAATGAATAGGGACATAAACGGACATGGTATTGTAATAAATAATAATAACTTTCAAATCAGGATATTTAAATCCAGCTTGTGTGGTGTAAATTAAGGAGAAAGCTAAATTGTTGACGGTCCTTCACTTATGACGTCATATGTGGATTGTGGGTTAGGGTAAGGGTCAGGCTTGGTTTAGGGTTAGCGCTAGTCCTGTTTTCATCCCAAGACTTTGAAGAAATCTGCAGGTTCCTAACCCTTGCTCTAACCTAGGGTTGGGTGATATACCGGTTTTTCCGTATATCATAATAAAATCATGATCAGCGATTTTATTATATCGGACGTATTTAAAAATATCCAAAAACCGGTATATCATAAAACCCTTATTATCGCGATATAATAATTATTGTGTCCCAATATATTGGTAATAATACATATCATCACCTATATGAGTACTATGACATTCTATTGATAGGAATAAATTCATCAGTAAAAAATAGCATTATTAAGTACCAGCTGGTCTAGGATAAATTTCCATCATGGTTAATTTGACATCAAGCAACATTACAACCAATACATGATTACAGACATAACTCATAATAACATGGGAATTATCTCCCTTTTGGAATAAACTATTTATTAACTGTATTCAAAATTTGACTTCTTAAAGGGCAATATTGGTGTCAGTCATTATAAAATATGTGATAGAGCTCATTAAATACATCCCAAATATAATTTTAACACAGAGATCATTGCTACCGGAGTTGTGTAACAAGCACGTGAAGAAACGGGAAGTGACGTCAAACATGACAAACATGAGTTGTCCTTCTATATAACTGACTGAAGTAACGAGCGGTAAGAGACAAACGATCGAATTTCATTTCACTGATAATTCCGTTGAAGATGAAAAGTTGTTATATGAGACGATGAGAGGATATCTGACAATTCAAAAAAAGAAATGGCTGTCAGTAGATAAAAGATAACGAACAAATTAGAAAAAGTCTGTGCATTACCATGTTTTTATTAAGAACAGAATGAATAAAAACAGGGGAATGCACGGGATTTTTCAAGTTTTTATCGTGTCCCTTATCTAGTGACAGCCAATTCTATTTTTGAATTGTGAGATACCCTCTCACCGTCCCATATAATAACTTTTCAACTTCAACGGAATTAACAGTGAAATGAAATTCAATCGTTTGTCTCTACAAGTCTAGACAAATATCTGACAAATTTGTAGTCATAACATCCTTTTGCCATTGCAGGTATTAAATAGAATAAAAAGTCAAATTAAATAGAAAATATGGATGCTGTGTTTTTGAGAAAACATATTGGCGAGTGCCTATCGACATGCTTAGCCGAAGTGGCTGAGAAACGACCACAAGATCCCATAGAATACATTGGACAATGGCTGCATAATTACATTAAAAACCAAAAATATTTAAAAGAGGTAAGCTGATGGTATTTCTGTATTTTAAATTTGTTTATAAAAGTAAGCTATGATCAGTTAATGAATTAATATTATAAGTAAAATTTCATAGAATTTATAGTTTCTGGAAAGGTCATTTGATTTAGAAATAGGTTTACTTTTTATACAGGGTGGGTTATTTCTTCGAACCAACCTGATCATCCAAACTGCACGCAGCGATCCATCTACGTCATACGTCATTATGATCACTGCCCCAATTAGCCGCCATTTAAAACGCTCACGTGATCATTTTGGGGCGGGACTTATCGACGGGACTATAGCGTTGTGTACACAACAGAGTAAAAATAACCCAAGAACGCACATGTTTTATGTAAACACGTGTCTTTAGCAAAAAGTCAACTTCTGCCAATCTGGTAAAAGCTATATATAATATGCACTAGTGGGTAATATTGCAATAAATTCTTTGCCATTGTAAACTGTCTTTAGAGTTTCAATCTGTTTATCTTTCAAAACAAGGTTAGATACTCCTAAATTTGTCTTCGCAAACAAAACCGCCTCTGTGAAATTACCTTTTATGGGCGCCGCCATATTGATTAATTAGAGGACTATTTTGTGATTCGGCTTTGATTAGTTTGACATCTTTCATACAGACAACAGTCAAATAAACATATTTAATTTCATTCAATATGACAATAGAAGAGAAATAAATACTTCTAAAAATTACTAAAAGCATACTCAGTGTTTTCGACTAAAATCGTCGATGTAGGAATTAAAATGTCGGGTAATTAGCTTAGGGCCTGTTCTCAGGCGGAGCTAGCTGTAGACAGGCAGCCTAAGTTTAGGATGCTGATCATCCTGGGTAATTGTGGGAGGAAATGACCAGCATACACTTATTTTACCAATATGTTTTTAAATCTAGTGTTGATTTCCACTTAGTGGTGCAGGATGTGTACCCTAGCGAAGAACAGTGTCTAGTCATTAGCATAGGACGAAAAGCTAAGGTCCTGTGTACATGTTGTGCACATAAAAGAACCTTTACAGTTGGGATTTAAGAACCCTTGACAATTGGGATTTGAAATAAGCATCTAGGAGTAGGAATAGTAGCGCCACTGTCCAGTAGCACACTGTATTGTGTATGACTGTCTGATCGTCATTAGTGCAGATGGAGCAGAAAAGTAGGATGTTAAACCCCATCCATTTCATTTTATTTCTGTTTTTAAATAACTAGAGCTGTTAGGGATTAAAATCTATTTTTTATATCTTGAATTAGATAATATATTTTATCTGTTTTTAAAGAAAAGTTTAGAAGACAAAAAGTTAAATGATGAGCGAGTTGAGTTTGAATTAGAAGAAAAGAGAAAGGCTTCCATGGCAACAGAAGCTGAACAATTTTCTAAAATAGAAGCTGAAGCTAAACAGGTAAGCTTATATTTATTATATACTTGGGCCTGAAACATTTCAGTTGTAATTTGTAAGCTTATAAGAAGAACTGATAAATGTTTTTCTCAAGAGTTAATAGATGGAGCAAACGAGGGACCACAACGCACACACAATAAATAAAGATTTATTTATGCTTGCCACACTCTGACATCACATTTTCACATTTTAGTACAGTTAACATCCCTCAGAACACTGAAACCGATTTGAATTTCTGACATACATCTACTTCTGGAGAAACGTTATCTAGGACTACCGCTGTAATCTGACCACCGAAAACTGTGAGCGGTGATTGCTTATTTTGTAGGCCCCTATTCTGCAATAAGAATTAAAACTATGATGAGAGATTTCACAACAAATGGACGTAACACTGCAAAGGAATACTGTATTTTACACACCATTAGAGCAATGTCTTTTATTCCTTTATTTAAAGATACATTATGGGAGATTAGATAAAGAGCTGGCAGTTCTCACTATAATAGTTAAAAACTAGATAATGTAAAGGGTATTTGCTGAAAATTTCAGTCAAATTGATCCACTCTGAACTGAGAATTTAGCGATTGAATTTTCAGCCTAGCCTCAATCATCACTAAAGTCGGTACGATAAAAAACATATTCTCGATTATCCATTTCATGATTTAATCATGAATGAAAGTTGAGCAGCAAATCGGATCCTAATCCAGTAAATATTGCAGGCTAGCAATGGCATCGAGAGTTGATTATGGTCTTGATAAGTTAATTAATGTCTAATTAATAATTTAGATAACATTTCAGGCCTAAAGAAAGACCAGCAATAGGCAGATTTAGCTCTTGCATAATGTATGTTTAATCAGGATGGGGTGGGGGGGGAGGCTGGCAAGGAACAGCGTTTAGTTATTCAGATGGGATGGAAAAACGAGGCCCTGTGTTAAGAGTAGGTCGGCCATTGGGCAGCTGTCTGGGCAAAATTTTCCTCATCACTCTGGCATTGTCTTATCTTCATTAGCCTATTCATTGCTTAGTTAAGGGAGTTTTAAAATGCAATTTTGTGAGTCATACTAGACCTACACATTTTATTATTTCAAAGAGTTCTGCCAATTCGCATGCTTTGCTCTAAGTAGGCCTGTGCTGGGATTTTTGATAGTTAAACAAGTCTGTTAGATTATATTGATTACAATATTATACAAAAATAATTGCATTTACAGGTCAAAAAAATAAAGAGAAAGATCTGATAGTTTTATATAATAGCTTATTTGATAAGTGAATACATACACGACATGTATGTAAAATAAACACCTGTTCATATTATCATAGTTTTCTATGCAGTGTTAGGTACATTCACTTCGTTTCATTGGTAGATCTAATTTTTAGACCAGCATACAAATAAGGCACATTTGCCCGATTTTTCATCACTTGCCTGGTAAAGATACTGGTAAGTTGAATAAAACTTTAAGTAGCTCAATGCATTATGTTTGACTGTTTAGGTTGAAGAAAGTAACAAACCTATAGATGGTGGTAATTCAACTTCTAAATTACCTACATTGGTAGAAGGTGATGAACCTAAATCTTCTCCCTCAGCAGGTCAGTATAGGAGATTTTAGATCAGACAATGAATTTTATACCATTTTGCGTTTCTGTAGTCCCATTCTTACCGTTATGACAATATTAGTAATAAAGCACTTGGATAATTTAAATAATGCAGATTTATAAAATAATATTTTACTAAATGAAATGTGATCAGTCTGCAAAATAAATTATTGTAGGACAGTGATAATGTACTTAAAGGGAGACAACTACCATTATTTTTTTCTGAACCAGAAAAGACCTCCCCACTCCCCCAAAGCATTAATGCCTAACTGATTAACTTCATGACACCTGGTGATTACTAGTTGTATCATCTTTATACATAAAACCCCATTAATAACCCACACACAACATACAATTTTTAAGAACTTAATGCAAAATGATAGAGAGAGAGAGCGCAATGGGGTTCACTAAACAGGAAACCACGCCAGAAAGTCATGAGGAACTTTCTCGGTAAATACCCGGAGCAAACCCGGAACTTACTGCTAAGCAAGCCAGCACCTTACTGAGCCATTGCAGCTCCTACAGCCACAGAGGTTCTTTATGAATCATTCAGGCATTTAGGGTCTCTGATGTTAATTTTCACTATTTCTAGATATTTATTTTCCTGATTGTCTTTCATAATTTTTTTTTTTTCAGAATAAGAATAGAAGTTAATATTTAACTCCAGATGAACCAATCCTTTGATTTGTTAATACTCAAAGCACTAAATCAAAATGTCACGGTGTAATGGAAGTGGGCAGTAATCAAAATAATATATTGTGTAAACTCTGATGCATAATGATATTTAAATGTTTAAAGTTTTAAAATTAGAAATTAAATGTTAATATACTAATGCAAGAGGTAGAATTGTCAAGTGAAAACTAATATTGGTTCACTAGTAAACTGTTTAAAATATAGAGATTTATAATACCGGGTCAATACTTTAATAACATATCTAAAATTGTCTGAATAACTGTATAAAAAACATTTCTAATATACACATATTTTCCAATTTTATGCCAGTTTTGGACAGTCTCTGCTCTTGACTGTAATTGTGAATAAAAGATATTTTACTTAACTATTTATATTAATGAAATTTGTTATATTTCGTTAATCTGTAATGTGCATAATATCTTCACCAAAGCTTTAATATATATTGACATTTTATTTTAAGCATGGATCTAATAGATCTATTAATATATATTTATTTATATCCCATGAAATCAAAATTGTTTTATGTGTTCAAATTGTTTAATAAAAAAAATTGTTTCTGTTTTTACCTTTTGTTAAAAAATTAATTTATTTACGAATGTGTCAGTATTCTGTTGACAGTATCCCTTACATGATGTCCGAGGTGTATAAACTGTTCAAAGTTAGTATATATTGGGTGTTCAAGGAGGGTATAGTCCCGAAATGACCTGGTTTGTGTCGAGTGGATGTTAAGCCCCATTTCTCTCTCTCTCAAGGAGGGTGAGTCTACTCTACCCTTGGCATGACAGGGATCACCAGCTACAGTTAAAGAGGAATTCTCGCGTTTCGATCCCTGCATTGGCTGAGAATGTTAAAAAGGATTTTCCGATGTCAGTGGTGCAGGTCTGAGGGCCTGACAAGGACAGCTGTCTAGTCGTTCGGATGGGACAAAAAAACTGAGATCCTGTGTAAACATTGGCATACACATAAAAAATCCTTTGGCAGTTGGATTTCAATTTAAGAGTGGGTCATAGTGCAGCTCTCCGGGCAAAATTTCCCTCATAGCACACAGTATGGCATATGCCCGTCTTCATTAGCCCAGTCGGAGTAGGACGTTAAAGCCCATTTCATTTCATTCTCGCATTGACCAAGAAGGTAATTAATGTTTATAGGACATGTAAATTGAATTTATAAAAGCTCACATAATTATTGAACATTCCAAAAAGGTATCTTTAAAAAGGTATTTAGTGAACATTTTATGTTATATATGTTATAGTTATATGACTCTATATTTATATTGACTGAGATATCCCCTTTTTGAATCGGGGGTGTACCCATTCACAAGTTTTGAAACTATTATTCTATGACTCGATTTTGGTATACTGGTTTTTAATAAAGAGTTGACCATTCTTTATATAACAGTTCAAAAATAGACCATAAAAAAAAAGAGAAAATATTGAAAATTTCTGTAAAATTACGTTATTCTGAACGAAGTTATCACTGTTGGAAGTTTGGACTAGAAATAGGCATCAACTGTCTCAGTACCGTCTCCGAGAATTGCCGATCGTTTGATTGACAGATTGATGAAACTTGCAATGTATGTTTATAACCCAAAGATTTCGGTTCCTGTTGATATTGGCGCAAATCGGACCATAACTTCTTGGATTATGGCCCCCTGATTGTACGAAAAATCACACTCTTATATATAGCTTGTGGGCCCTCTATATATGAGGTCACAATTTTTATTGATTGTAAAAACCGTTCAAATATACCACAGTAAAGTTACACCATTACGACTGAGTTCAAATTCAAAGTTCAAATGGCCGCTCCCCTTTACGCAAATGTAAAAGCATATAATACCCAGGGCGACATTCGGATGTAAACTGTGGTCGCGACTAGTCTGAACCAGCACCCGAACGCAAATGGGTCCGGACAATTGGACAATTGGCTATTCAATATAGCGGCTCCCATGTCAGTTGTTTCGCCTGCTATATTTTCTGCTAGTTACTCATTCTTAAAACTATATTACAAAGCTGACTCCATCCGGGTTAACTGCATGGTAACATGGATCAGTTCACAAAGTTTTTTGTCGTGGGCCTATATATATTCTTTAACTTCCGATTGTTACCATAAACCCTGAAATAGGTCCATGGTGTAAATAACGCATTGGCAATTGTCAATTTTATGATATTTTTCAGACAAATCTACACACGTGTCAGTCTTTTCAGCCATCTTTGAACTATCTCGACCGTCCTCTATCGCATGGTACGGCTAGTCACGGCCAGAGGTTGAACTAAATGTCATTCGCATGCAGATAGTTAGACTAGAGTACGGAAATCCGTGCAACCGAAGGTCGCCCCCTCGTGGACCATTGGGGCGACCTTCGGTTATCGTGATTTCTTGACTATGGTCGAACTAACAGAATCCGAATTTCATTTAGTCCGGACCGTAGTCCGAAAATACTGAACCATGCTATTGTGGCATGGTCGGAGTAGTTCCAAGATGGCGGTGTCGATGAGAGAGAGAGAGAGAGAAATGGGGTTTAACGTCCGCTCGACACAAACTAGGTCATTTCGGGACTAACATATGGTTTAATTTTATTTCAATAATTCGCTTGCGCGTAGGGGTCTTTAGCAGTGGGAGGAAACCGGAGGACCCGGAAAAAACCCACGAGGTTGGACAAGCGACCCTACTCCTTGCCACGTACAACCGGGGATTCGAAACCACGCCAGTCGACTCAATGACAGACTTTATGATACATTGCGCGCACGCTAACCATTCAGCCATCCAACCCCCCGCGGTGTCGATGAAACGAAAGCGTAAAATATGTAGAAAGAATCTATTTTTGTTATGTATATGTTTTCAAGAAAGCTTGAATGAATTTTAAATGGTTGCTACTTCTATTAGCAGATATTTTTTGTCTCGTATGTTATGTCTGAATCTATGCAAGTCTAAAAATTACGCATTATTTCAATATTTGCGCTATGCAAAAAGTAAAGTCAAGTTACAAGGAATTTTGTCGTCTATAAAATTAATTTGAGTCGCGCAAATTTAACTTCATGAAAGTATTTTGTTTATTAAACTATATAACACAGCGATTAATTATCGTCCATGGAGAGATGTATAGACCTTCCTTGGGGTTAAGGGGTTTTTTTCAGGGTTATGGTTAAGGTCTAAAGCAGAGTAAAATGACATCACCATGTTCCTGGGGACAGCCATCTTTGAACAGACGATGTCCCGGACCATTCGAGTTCGGTTTCTAGTTCCGACCACTAGTCGTGAAAAAATTATAACCGAAGGTCGCCCTAGAGGTCACAATTTATTTCCGATTTGCTCTTATCGGACCGTAATTTTCTGGACCCTGATTGTACGAAAATCACGCTTTTAGCTTGTGGATCCTCGAGAGGTAGCAATTGTTATCTTATTTTCAAAATCGTTCTAATATATCACCGTGTCCATAATTATGGACCGAAAATCGGACTGAAACTTCCCGGAAAATGGCCGCTCCCCTTTACGCAAATCGTGTAAAAGTGTGTAATACCAAGATTGTAACAATTTTTATCCGATTTCGATGAAACTTAAAACGAGTGTTTAAGTATCACTAGTTCTTGAGCGAGTTCAAGTTTGGTGCGCATCGGACATTCTGTTCTGGAGTAATGTCAAATGCCTTTTACGCAAAATCTTAAATATGAATTTAGTTTGTGGACCTCCCAGAGGCGACGATTTTTGTCCGAGTCATGTGATGAAAATTAAACTATGTGTTGAGGATCAAAAGTTCTTGGATGAGTTTCACTTTGGTGCGCACCAAACCTTCCATTCTAGAGCTTTAGTCCCTATAGAATGTTAGAAAAACTCTATCCCGTCGTGTTTTAATTAGCCAATATGTCATAGAAATGAGATGGAATGAAATATTCGCCTGCTCAGTAAAGTTAACTAATCGCGACCCTCGCAACTGGGGAGCTCTTAACCCAGGGATCAGTATAGTGAATAGCAGGCTTTTTTCTTCTGAAAGTCTACGTTCGACTTCTAGAAGTCTCACATCTATATTAAAATCGGGTCTCCTCCAGTTACGTCACTGTATCTAACTGAATAGTTACTTGCCTGCAATAACCCGGAGAAAAGAGTACCCCCCCCCCCCCCCCCTACTCCTCCGGGCCTGCTATAATGATTTGGAAAAGCAGGATTTGAACTATTAAGTGCATTGAATTTCAATAACAGCAGCTCTGAAAAGCAAAATAATAGCCAATTATCAATTATGATTTTTAAAAAAGGATTATTGAAATCATTAAAAAATTAGATTATTAATCTTGAATAATGGTGAGAATATAGTTAAGTATTAAATATTGATTAAATAGAATTTATTATGCTTAGCCTATGACCTATGATTATATCATAAGAGTGTCATACGCCTTGCGGAGGAACAATCCTTGATCTCTGTTTATCCTTGGTTTGTGTCTTCGTATTTTAAAGGCTTCATGCAATTGACGCTCTCTCTTGTTGCTTATATTCTTGCATAATGCTTTAACATTGGACCATTGGACTCTGTGGCGGGAGTTGGAGATCAAATGTTCAGATACAGCTGAATTGTTGGTTGCTGTTTTCGACTTGTGGTCATCTATCCTTTTGTTTAATTGGCGTTTTGTCTCCCCGGCATACGTACTCCCACTTGGCACTTGCACTCTATTTGATAAACACAACCCTTTGGTTGAAATTTGTGAAGACATGAATGAGATGTTCAATTTCTTTAGGCAGACTCTCAAGATCACGTCTTTTTTGCACGGTTTACCCTCCACCACCTTAAGCCAGGGCTACTATAAAAATCCACAGTGTGTTCCCGAGATTCAGCCTTCTACAACACAATCCAATACTTATCCAACCTAGTCGAAACGTCGCTCAGTAATAAGCAGTAATTGTATTCCACAGAATTGTGACCTGTTTATTAATGGATATTATTCAATAAGTTTATTGACTGCAACGTTTCAATGGGGGTATACTTTCATCGTTGCTTGATGTCGTTGAGAGTAGAGTGTCCACATTGAATTGTTGTTGCTAATAAAATTAGTGAATGATCCATAGAGTTGTCTGTATTATTCCAACAAAAGGTTACTAGGACAAGTGTTGCTACTTATCTAGAATATTGCATAGAAATGATAACACTGCCAGGACATGACAGTGATGTAGTACAATATGATTCGCATTAAAGGAGCTAAGTCTCTAACTCAATATTTTCCATTATACTATGGTTGTCTATCTCTTGATATTTTGGCTTTATTAGATGCAATTTTCAAAGTTGGTGGCTCGGGGGTCTCAGAACACCGAAACACTCCAAGCCCCACATACTCTAGGACATGAAAGAAGGCTGTCGTCCCCATTTCAAAGTTTTTGAGAAATTCTTTTCGAAACTTAGTAATAATGACATACAACCTTTACACCCATATACACCAGCAGTTTGTTGATGCACGTTTCATTGCTCGAAAATTGAAACTAATAAATAAGTAATAAATAACCAACAATTACTATATTATGCACGA